CTGGTGGCGCAGTGCTTGAGAGTCCGCCTGCCGATGCAGGAGACGCGGGTTCGTGCCCTGTTTCGGGAGGATCCCACGTGCCGCGGAGCGGCTGGGCCCGTGAGCCGTGGCCATTGAGCCTGCGCGTCCGGAGCCTGTGCTCCGCAAATGGGAGAGGCCACAACAGTGAGAGGCCCGCATAACGCAAGGAAAAAAAAAAAAAAAAAAAGAAAGAAGAGACACTGTCAATTATACCATGACATGATCCTTTATTATCACATCAATTTTAAGAGGCATCATAATTTCAGAGATGTTAAAATGGGAAAATACAGGTATCTTAGAACAAAATGCAGTACCTTCCAGTGGCTTCTCCAATAGGTACTAACTGAAGCTTCTGTCACATTAAAAGCCAGTCTAATTTTCTTCCATATGACAGTTCATCAAGTATTTGAAAGTGCTCATGGCCAACTTGAACCTTCTCTTTTCCAATCTTGTCACCTTTAGCTCATAAACATGATCTTAAGTCTATGAATCATCTCCACATTCTGTCTACTATATCGATTCTAGTTTATCTAGATCTCTACTTACTTACACATGTAAGCACCAAGCATTTTTTTCAAGCACCAGGAGCTAAAATGATAACCAAAACAGGCAAACACTCTACCTTCAGTAATTCAGTGGATATACAGTCTGGCAGACGAACAAGAATACGTAAACAACGAGATCTAGCTAAAGTACTACAGGTATTTTAGAAAGTACAGTAAAAATACAGAGAATGGGCAAAAAAGAAAAAGGTATTTAAGTGTGGTACCTAAAGAGGAACAGTAGGTTCTAAGGTGAGGTCTGGTCTATTCTAAAGAGAACACTTATGCCTACACAAAGGATAACCTTCTTGTCTTTGTTTTCTCTTCTTTTGATAAAATCTGTGAAATTTTAACACTCTCACTATGTATATATTCCCAAAATATTTCTGAACATGTGTTATTATACTGTCTTTCCCACACCAGCCTGCCATTATTCCCATCAAGTGCTTCTATAATTGGGAGAGGGATTAGTGGGAGAAAGGAATTATTTTTCCCTCTGGCTCCAAGTGTAGGATTTTCTGTTTATTCTCATCTATACCAGTTATTTAAGAGAGTATGCTGACACCTTGCATATCCTCCTAATGGGCTGTTTCTTCTAAACCAGGGCATGCTCCTTCACTAACACAGTACAGTCTACCAAACTTGAATTGTAGATATCTGATCAGACAAGTTTAGATTCTACCACTAAGCAAAAGAATTTGGCAAAAATTGAAGTCCACTCTACCAACCTGGAAATGCCCAGAGTACTAAAATGTCCTGTGTATGTCAATAACATTTTGCTGCTGTGCATTTATCTCATTTGGAAATCTCCTGGCTGTTGTAATCTACCTATAGTGATGAGTCAAATATAATGATCAAGAGAGAAATGTCTTAATGCATCCTGGGATCCAACCCATTTTAAATACAGTATTGGAAACTCTCCCAGGATTAGAAAACCTGGATAAGCACACAAAGTTTGTGTGAATTTATTTTAGCTTGTATTGAGATGTCTATTCCTCTATGGCTCTCACAAAAGAGGAATTCCATCGAGGTTTCCTGTCTCCTTTGTTTCAGTTCAATAATACCCAGAGTGGTTAAACCTTTTTCCCCCTTAAACACTGGTGTGTGTGTGCACACGTGTGTGTATGCATATGAGCACACGTGCATACACACATAGGGCAGAGGTGGGAAATAAACACTCATTCCTCAGTGAAATCTGTTCACATGTGCGCATCGTGATGATTAAGCAATAAGCATCGTAACGTGTGTAATTTTTCTGGTAGCAACACATTTAAGGTAAATTTTAGGCGGAAGATTTGGATGAAGCAAAACTCCCCATGCCAAGATTCTTAATTAGGCACATGGTTTTAAAAGTGAACTTTTTTCTTCTAATCAAGAATAATTGTTGATGATCATGAAAATGTTTTTATCAGATAATCATTGCATAGAGATGCATATTATTGAAAAGTCAGAGAATTTGTAATTATTTATTTATATGCATCCCCATTATAAGGATAATATGGCCTCTTAATCACCTGAAGAGAGATTTAGAAGTTGAAAAATCCCTCATCAAAATTAATATCCCTAGTAATGGTCTATGGAGGAGTATTTTTTAAAAACTGAAACTTTGCAAGCTGTAAAAGGCAAGAAGCACAAGTAATTTTGACTGAAGCATATAAAACAATGAAGTCTAAAAACTGATGAGATGCTTCAGCTGCACACCAAACTACTAAACAAAACGAGACAATGTATGGAATGGGACACTTTTTGGAATGTGTTTCCAGTTCACAAGGGCATTCCCTAGCTGTTGCCCCTCTTTGGGGTCCTGGGGCATGGGGGGCGGGGGGGGGGCGGGTAGTCGACTGGTCCAGGAGAACACCCAACCAATCAGAGCTGCTTTGCAAGAAATTAGAAATGGAGCAGAAGGAGAAACTACTCTCTCCAACAAGTAAGCTCTGGAACTATCAGTGGTACTGCTCTGAAGGTCTGACTGAATGACAGAGGAAGCCAGTGTGAAGGGAGACAAAACAGAAGCAGAAGCACAGTGAGGACAGGAAAGTAGTACCACAGGTGGAGTATTGGTGGCTTCTCAGTGTCTGCTTCCAAGTCTTTCCAGAAGCCCTGCAGAATTTCCACTCTTGAGTTTCGTGAGAAGACCCTACATGATGATGGCAAAGACCCTCTCGTCTGTTTACCTCTAATTAACTTCTGTTACTTGGCAGCATGTTTTGGTGTGCCAGAGGATGAACTGGAAACAGTACTTATATGACACTGGATAATCATTTAACCTTAGTAACTCTTGGTTTTTTTAATCTCTGAAATGAGAATGAAATAATTCTGGATATTTATATCACTTCTGTAATTGAAAAGTAATGATTGTAGTATATATTGCTAGAAATCCTCAAAAATCACCCAAAACTCTTTTTTAGTATTAAAAAGTGCTATCCTTTATGTAATTTAATGTTGCCACTTGAATTGTTCCAAAGCAAATTGATTGTTTATCCATTCTTAATAAAAAGTAGTTGTTTTAAGCACCTTTGATATGTAGCTTAGAGGGGCTGGAAGAATAGTATATTGCAAACAATTAGAGATTTCCTTTGTGAGATACAAACTTGTTCAACAGGGGGAACATCAACTTCATTATTACCCCACTTTCACCATAAAAATCAGTTATTCTGCATATCTTTCTGCAAAAGGCAGTCTTAAAATGTGGCTTATTTTTATAGGCATATATATATATACATATATATATATATATATATATACACACATACATATACACACATATAGCCACAGTTTTACCAGTAATATTTCTGACTCTTCTGCTTACCAGTTTTTATTGCCTTGGACATGTTAACCTATGCAATCTCATCACCAATCTGCTTCTTTTGTCCTAATGGGGAAAAATCGGACCACTTGTTGAAAGAAGATTTCAATAAAATAGTCTGTGAAAGTACTTTGTAAGCAGTAAACGACTATACAAACATAAGGAGCTAGTATTTCCAATTACATGTATAAGAATTCATAATCTGAGGAATGGAAGCAGCTTTCTTCTCGCCTATCCTTCCTCCACAAGAGTCTGAATAGCTGTATGAAGACAAAATGTTCAGCCTCTTTTTGTAAGTTGGTGGCAATTCTTCATTAAAGGAAGATCTTTTCAAGAAAGAAATTCAGTCTTTCCATCTTCCATGTGTGGAACATCTGTGCTAAACCCATTCCATGCACACATCTTTGAAGCAGTGACTGCCTAGAGGAAATACTTTGATTTTGGCTTTATTTAAATGCCTGAACTTCTATTGGAGAAACAAAAGATTTTCTAGTAAGAGCTCAGTTGGGAAGGAGACCAACCTCCAACCTGTTTAACCACTCAGAAGCCAAAACAGCCTGGATTTTTTTTAGTGCATCATGAAATGAAATCTCCCCACAACTTACAGCATACACTAACAGCTGGTTTGGGATGCTACTGACCCGGGGTGCAATCACTGCGGTAATTAGATTTAATTTTCCTAATCTAACAGTGCCTGGCTCCATCATGTCTGTATCTTCTATATAGAAAACCATTACTCTCACTTAATAATACTTGGACATGCTTAAGATTTTTGCAGCTTAGTTCCCTAATATTAGAAATTACTTTTTGGTCACTGTAAATATAGCTATGCAAACTGCTATGTATACCAAACAGTTTAATTTGGAGATTATCCTACTTCAGGAACTTTCATCTTAAACTGTTAAGCAGACCTGAATATCATTATACACTCTTCTGCAAGTCTTTTGCGTTCTTGTATTAACTCATTCAGAAAGATGGAATCAGCCATAAGTCAGTGGTGAGCCTGAAGGGTTGGGGATTTGAATGTTTCTGCAAGCCCAGGGAAGCATGGCTTCATTCTCCAACATCCTGGGGTTACTCACTCCGAAAGAGTAACAGAGATCATAGGACTATGCGAAAAACCTGTCTTCCTGGAAGGAGAGAAGGAAAGACGCGTCTGATTCTATGCCTACTTGCGTCTGGAAAACGCCTGTTTATGTTGTAAAGAAAAGCCGTCAGTATTATCATCTCAGGAAACCGGGTTTGTTTTATGTGTGTGCATGTTATGCGTGCTGTAACACGAAGCTGACCAACTGATAGCGCGACGAGGTACTGGTGTCCCTGGGAATTGTAATTGTTCGGTCGGTTAAAAAAAAAAAATATCCAACCGTTGCTGACAATAGCACAAGGTGCATTTTGATAGTATAAAGGAGGGAACAGACGAAGTCATGCAAGTTCTGAGTATGTCTTAACCCTCAAAAAAATAAGAAAGGAAAAGAAATGAAAGCCTGGGGCAGAGGGAGTGTTACAAGGAGCGAATTGCTCAGGACTTCAAACACAGGGAGTCATTCTGTCAAGGGGAGGGGGGCGGGCGGGGGCAGGCACTGGGCCTCTCTAACAAAGTCCTCCTCTCTTTGCTCCCTCCCACTTCATTCACTTGCAAATCAGTGTGTGCCCACAAGAGCCAGCTCTCCGGAGCCCGTAACCTTCCCGTCCCGAGAGCTGCAGTTTCAGCCACGACAGCAAGAACCGCTGAGCGGGCGACCGCAGCGCCGGCGGAGGCAGAAGCAGCCTGGGCGGGTCGCAGTGTCTCCCCGGGCGCAGGAAGGCGAGCAGAGGTGGGTTCGGTCTCAGTTGGCAATGCTGCATGCCTTTTCTTTTTTTAATTCTGTAGCGTTGATGGAAGCCAATCAGAAAGAGAGCCATCTCCGCCCGTTGGGTGCCGCACGCTGGAGTTGGGAGGGATGTTCAGCCTGCGAGCCCGGGTCGGGGCAGGCGCTCGGGTCCGGCTGCGCGGCCGGCGCTGCTGCCGCTGCCCAGAACGGACGCCGGTTCCCAGGGAGCTTCGGCGCCACTCCTCCGCCTTCTGGTAAGACCGCGGCGGGGCTTGGTGGGGGCATATGTGACGGGGCCGCCGGGAAGCACCCACTGTCTTTCTCTCCGCCGGCAGAGGCTGCCAAGAGAGCTCCGGCATTTGCAAAGTTGGCTGGTCAATTACCAAGGGCGCTGGTGCGTGCAGGACCCGCGGAGCCGTTTGGGGCTTGATTTATTCCCACCTGCCCACATTACAAGGGTCTGTGCAGGGACTGCTTTGGCCGAGTTACATTTCTTGGTTTGTGGGCTAAAGCAGAAAATTACGTAGCTTGAGAACTCCCGAATGCTCCCAATAAGGAAAACTTAGGCTAAAGAGATGATTTGTCTCGGAGAAGAAGCTTTAAAAAAACTATTAGCTTGCACGTTGGGGGCAACGCCTGCCGGCTCACATAGGGCAGAAATGCTTAGGTTGCAAGGAAAGTCAAACGTTGGACTCTGAAAATGGAGCACACCGTCCAGGGAAAAGTCATACGGAAGACGGAGCTCGCTCGTGCTCTTCCAAGGCTGGCCAGGCACAAATCTGGGGGATAACGCCTCCCCCGGACTGGCTGGAGAACAAACCAAGTGCGCCTGGTTTTAGGTGTCCGATGCAGGAAAAGTGGAGCCCCCAATGCGTTAATTACGGAATTGAATAAGAGGGAACGTTGCTATGGTGTGTATTGCAGAGCTGGGATTACTTCTGTAGTTATTCTTATGCCCAGAGTTATCGGGGATCTCGAGATGGGAGATGCTGGAAAGGTCAGCATCGTACTGAGAAGTGTTGTCACTGCTGCAATAAAATCTGTATTTTATGGGAAGTTATATGCAGGTCCTTGTTAGTGCAAGGGGCTGTTCACCTGAGTGAACTACAGAGAACATCCAAGTACCAAGAAGTTTAATCATCTGGAATAGCCACACATTTCTCTCTCGCTCTCATATTTTTTTTGGTAAAGACATTTTAATTATGACATTCACACTATGGAGGTGTATCATCCCGTGTGTCTCAACCAATATTCATTTTCACTTACTGAAGCACGTAATGTAGGAAAGAAGAGGTTTTTTCCTGCAAAAAATGTTGCTGGAGTGGCTAATGTGTACATGTCTGACTGCTTTGGAGGGGTGCACATGCAAAATATGGGCTTTCGAAGTGGTTATAATCCAGGGGGTGCAAAATCCTCCCTGTGTGGGAAAAGGAACACAGGGATATACCTTGCTAATGCACAACTCTTCTAAGAATGAAGAACAAATAAGCTTATACAAACGGTGACCAAGGATTGCTTATTTCCTTTCTCTTCTTGCTGATGCCTGTCCCTGAAAAGGAAAACCTTTGGTATTTTACTTTAGGAGAAAAAAATCTCTTCCAGTTTGGCTTGAGCATCAACCTTTGTGTATCAGCACTTGCATGGCTCTGTGCTGGCTGATTTTTTTAGAGAGCCAGAAAACAAGTTGTGTGAAGAAAGGGGATATGATCAAGCAGGAGGAGGGCAAAGTTTATGCCAGAGGCCAGATTTTCAATGCAGAGCTCAGAAACTTAAAAGAAATCTAACAATTTACTAGTAAATGCAATCACACAGGATTGTATCTCACCCCCTTTTGCTCTTTGGTGTGCTCAAATTAAAAAGGTATTGGGGGGAAATAAAAGGCAGATATTTTTCTACCTGTTTTGATGGTTCATGGCATACTTTAGAAGCAGAGGAAGTAACCCATGTCTTCAGAAAAACATGAGAAGCAGCAATACATTTCTGAAGGAAAATAGCAATGGTTAGTTCTTCTGTACTTGTCTACAATTATCTTTTGCTCCCATTATAAGTGACAGACTGGTGTCTCTATAGGGACTTTTAGTCCCTTTACTATCTGGCTTTTACATCAATTTATTGCAATTTCATTTCTTTTTTTTTTTTTTTTTTTTTTTTTTTTTTTTTTTTCTTTT